TGTTTATCCGTACACACACACGTGATGTGTATCTGAACACACATACGTGATGTGTATCCGTACACACATACATGATGTGTATCCGTACACACACACGTGATGTGTATCCGAACACACACACGTGATGTGTATCCGAACACACATACGTGATGTGTATCCGAACACACACACGTGATGTGTATCCGAACACACATACGTGATGTGTATCCGTACACACACACGTGATGTGTATCTGAACACACATACGTGATGTGTATCCGTACACACATACATGATGTGTATCCGTACACACACACGTGATGTGTATCCGAACACACACACGTGATGTGTATCCGAACACACATACGTGATGTGTATCCGTACACACACACGTGATGTGTATCTGAACACACATACGTGATGTGTATCCGTACACACATACATGATGTGTATCCGTACACACACACGTGATGTGTATCCGAACACACACACGTGATGTGTATCCGTACACACACACGTGATGTGTATCTGTACACACACATACCTGTGGATGTGTCTGTTAGCAAGAGGTGTTTTATTAAAGCCGAAGGTGTGTTTAGCTGATGAGTTTGGACGTCTCGCTGGCTGTGAAGCGGGGTGGGTGACCAGCTCCTGGATGCAGGGAGGGAGCTGCTGTTGGTGTTGGAGGAAGGACTAAACCACCAGGAAAGGCAGTGCCAGGCTCCCGCGGTCCTTGTCACTGTTCACCCTCAGGCGCAGTCAGGCGCAGGCAGCACAGTGGGCAGGGTTGAGCTGCTTTTGGTGCTCTTTATCCAGGGTTTCTGGGTACACCTTGTGCCAGGAACAGGGACATGCTTTTGTCACCTCACTGCTTATGGAAACAAGCACAGCCTGGGGACCGAGCGGCTCGGCTGGGGCTGTGCTGAGCCCCAGAGCTGCAGCGCCAGGGCCGGGTGGTCAGTGCTGGCTCAGCACCTGGGCACTGCTCACCCAAAGGCCAGGTCTGCCCAGGGTGCAGGAAGGTCCAGATACTTTCTTCCTGCCAGACTGTACGTGCAGTATCTCCCCCAGAGCACCAGCTCCTGCAGCATTTACCCCATACCCAGCACCAGCAGTGCTCTCCTGGACCAAACCAGCCCTTCCTTGCAAGAAGGGGAAGAATTCCCATTCACCGATGGTGCTTTTCCACGCTGTGACTCCACAGCGCCCTTTAGCGCCTGCAGCTGAGATTGCAGCAGCTCCAGGACCCAGCCTGGCAGAAAGGCTATCTAAGGGGACACGGGGGGTAGCTTTGCCAGATCCCAGGGGAGTTTACACCTGCATTAGCCAGAGAAACTCGTGAGGTTCAAAAATGGACCTGTAACAACTGCACCCCAACAAGGGAAAGGACTGAGTCGTGAAGGTGAATGATTTCTCACTCGTGGGGCTCTCTCTTCTGCCCTGCCTGATCCAGGACTGTGTCCTTTGCTGTGCTTGATCAAGCCTGGGAACACTTGTCTCTGCCCAGGCGAGGTGTGAGGTGGGAACACGCACCATTTGCCTGGGAAGTGACAGATCCCTCACGGCAAAGCGTGAAGGGCAGATCCCCTTCCCTAGTGCTCCATGAGCACCAAACCAGCTCACACAGAGCACACAAACACCAGCTGCTGGCTTTGTGCCTTTATTCTCTAGGAGAGAAGCTGGTGGAGCTCACGCAAAGCAGGGAAGACAGCCCTGCTCTGAGAACAGTTTTTACACGTCAGGGCATCTGCAGCTGGTGAATTCCTGGAGCAGAGCTTCCACTTCTCCTCGCTGACTCATCCTGGTGGCCTTGCCCTGAAAGCGGCCTCGCTTCCCAGCTCCTTTGCCCCCCAGCAGCTCTGCCACCCTGCAGGAACAGCAGTACAGGCTCTTTGTCACTTGCAGAGAAGAGAGTGGCCTGGCCCACCCGCTCCGGAGAGCACACACAGACCCGTGCCTCAATGACGCTGCTCAGCCTGCAACATCAGAATTGTTACTCATTTTAAAGAACCCACAGAACATGTTACCTGGGACCTAAATTCTCAACTGCTTCAACTGGTCCAGCTAGAAGAAAGAGTCCTGCTTCTTTGTCATCCCCCACAGTCAGGAACAGCAGGGTTTCCTGCGGACAAAGAGATGGATCTTGCTCCAGGATAACCAGTGCCCTCCTTGTCTGGGAGGAGGACAGAGGCACTGGCCACAGGACCCGCCCGTGCTTGCCAGTAATTCACAAGTTTGTGTGCATTACTGAGGCAGAGAGTCCAGTTGAAGGAAGTAAAAGAGAGGGAGCTTCTTACCCTTAACCTCAGTCATATGTTGTGGGGACAGAACGGGTATGGCGGTATCCAAGTTCAAAGGATACAGTTGGCAGTTGGATCGTTGTAGATCCAACTGCAATAGTCTGTTCTATTCCATTCCATAACTGCTGATAAGGTTCTGCACAACTCTCTGGGCACAGGCTCTTGTACAGTGCCCTGGATTTTCCCTGTTATTTCCTGACTATTGGAGATTCCCCTGCAGACCCAGGCTGACGGGGACAATAACCTCAGGTAACTTCTGAAAGGAAACACACCTGTACCTTGGGACTATGGGACAAAGAGAAGCCCTGCCAGCCCCTGCCTGGGCTACAGCTTGGATGAAAAAGCCCACGGGATCAGGTGAGTCTCCATCAGTCACCTACCTCTGTCCCAATCTCGTTAGCGATGATGTTCATGAATTCAGAGTCACCCTCTTTCCTGTGTGAATGGGTAAAAAAAAAAACACTTCAGAAAGAAGCAGAAATCCCCTCTAGAGTCCAAAATATCAATCAGAAACCAAAGGTCTGATCAGGCCTGAGGTTTTGGCCTCTTGCTGTTAAGATGGAGACCAGGGATTTTCTGTATATCTAAACCCTCACTGTGCATTCCCATGGGCATGCTAGGAATTATTTGTCTTTCTTTAAGAAATAGAGCTCCTCCGTTTTATTTGGAAGTATCAATGGCAGAGAGAAATCAGACACAGTTACTTCTTAGCCACAAAAGCACCCTATGACTGATTTACTAACACATTCCTTTAATGACACAGCCTTCCAGCAGCCTGAGGCAGTTCAATCCTCTATTCACCTTGTTTATATTCTTCCCTGAGAAACAAGCCTGAGAAGTTACCAAGAGAGATGCAACTGCCACAACACGTCCAAGATACCATGATACCCTTTCCTCCTTTATCTGAACTCCTCTGTACCTGTGTAGCACAAAGAGCTGACTTGGAACAGGCTTGCTCTTGAAGTCCCGGGCTATCAGAACAGCAATGTCTCTAAGCAGGTTCAAGTTATTCTGCCAGAAAACCAAACAAACTGTGCTGCAGATGGAGAAGTCCTTGTGAACACTCTGCTGTGTTCCCAGAGGTTGGAGCAGTTTTCCTAACATCCACAATTCAATTCCCAGTTATCTAAAGCTCGGCTCTACAGGAAGCAGCCCCAATCTGCCTTTCTCAGCCACCCTCGTACCTTCTGCAGCAGTTTCACTGAGCTCTGAAGTCTTTTCACGGCCTCTACATGCTCACCTGGCCCATTTCTGAAAGAACAAGGAGAACTGGGATCACTACTCTGGAGGACACAGAAAGGGTTTCTTAAAGGAGCAAGAGAGGTAATATCATAAAAAGCACCACGTAGCTGCTTGCTGAGGCTTGTGTGGTGTTTGTCAGAAGGAATAGTAAAGATGAAGTAACAGAAGTGGAAAGGGTATTACTTGAGCAGTGAAGTTAGAGCCTTCTCGGTACTGTGACTTTGTTCAAGTGACTTCAGCACTCTGTTTCCTGCCAGGAAAACCAAGTTGGTTTTGTTCTTTCTCCCTTTCTCTGTGCCGAGGAGCTTAATAACCTTAAAAATAAAATCACCCCGGTCAGAAAAGAACAGTATTTTGCTTATGCTCACACAGGTGGCCACTTCCTACTAGGTTATGCCTTGTTGTGAGTACTGACTCTCTGCCAGTGAAGATAAACTGATTAAAATCAACCATAAGGTCAACATACAAAAAACCCCCAAAGGATGGTGATAGAGTGGAATGAGTATGATTTGCTCCTCCTGGGCTGCACGCTGCAGTGCATCTGGAGGTCTCTGCTGGGATATGGACTCCAGCAAGAGACTGAAAATTCAGAAACACTTGAAAGCAGCTCTAGAATTTTATCTCCACCTCCGTGCAGAGGATTTCTCTCTCCATTTATGAGAAGCACTCAAAACCCAAGTGCTTTAAGCAGAGAGAACAAATGGCTGCAACCCAGCAAGGCACTGCCACGCTGGCAATCCAGCACGTGCCCTCGCAGAGCACCGGCAGTTCACACAGGGCCATTGCTGCAGGTGAGGGCTGAGCTCTGCTACAAAGGACGGACAGGACAGGGCAGGAGGGGCCTTTCCTGCATGACTGGATGAAGCTTTCCCCTGAGCGAGTGGGTGCAGACTGTGCCCTGTGCACGGTGCCGCTGGGCTCACCCAGCACAGGGCTCCTGCTACCCCCTCTGCCACTGGGACAATTCCAACAGACCATGGATCTCAGGGACTTCCAAATGCTCTCGAGAGTAGCTCAGCACCTGCAGGTCACTCAGGTTGGAGACGTGGGTCCCACAGCACATGTTGGAGTCTATGCCTTCGATGTCAATAACTCGCACTGGTCCCACGTGGTCATCTGGCAAACCACGGCTTCTCACCTAGCACAAGGACAATGGCACCATGGTGGCATCCACACTGCGCTTATCTCAGCCCCACAGATATCAGTTCTCTCCCCAGCACTCACTGTTTCAACGTCAGGGTCATCTGCAGCCAGTTCCCTCACCGTCACAGGTACCCTCTCCCTGATTTTCTCATTCACACTCCTCTCCAGGGCCCCTATTTGCTCTGCTGTCATGGAGGGGGTGTCCAGCTCAATGACACTTCGCTGGTGGCCCAGCTCCCTGCACCAGTGAACATCTGCTGCTGTAGTTAAGACCGGTTGGAAGGTCCCTCTGGGCAGCACTAAGTGCCATCGCACTGCTGGGAATGTGACTGAAACAAGCATTCCCTCCTCTCTGTTACTTACAGACCACACAGTCCATACCAAACACCCAGGGGAGGCTGAGACAGAGCAAAGGCTTTGCACAGCTTCTCCCTGGCTCAGTCACCTCTCCCAGGCCCTCTGAGCCCAAGTGAAATGCCTGCTGGCAAACTCATTTATTCCTGCTCAGCTCCTCACAGCCCAGCACTGTGGCACACGCCAAACGAGGTGAGAGTGGGGTCAAAGGCAGCCTCTTTGCTGCTCACCAAGAAGTCGTCTTGAATCCAAACATCTGCTCTGCGATGGCAGTGACGAGATGCTGCCCTGCAAGAGATGTGCAAGCCACAGCTCTGAGCGCCACCGGACCCAGGGGGAGGAAAAAGCACACTTCGATCCAGGCTGCACGTTCCCTTCCAAACCTGCTCGCGGCGGGGCCGCTCGCAGTG